CTTTAAAGTAGAAGTAGGTGCGTGGCCAGATATACATGTTAGGTGCATGTAGGCTCAAATTTCTAAGGTGCCCCATGCTCCCCAAACCCAAAATTAGTAAATAGGATTAATTTAATAACTGAACATTGGATGACTAAAGACATCCTAAAAAAAATTCATATCTAACAACTGCATATATATGTGTGTATGTGTATATATATATATATATATATATATATATATATATACACTGCTTGTAATGTATTGTGTTTGAGTCGGAATATAGTAAGTGTATACAGTTTTGTAAATTCATGCAGTGCTAAAGATAATGTTTGAAGTGGGTAGGATAAAGGTAGTTTAAGGATTGAATGCAATGAATTAATGTATTTGCTATTACTCATTCGGTTTGGCCGAATGAGGGCCGGATGTAACTGCTATTGGTCATTCAATACAGCCGAATAAGGGCTGAATGGGCTTAAATACTGTGTGGTAAAACAAGAACTGAATGAGAAAGGACATACAGATACATTGCATGCCAAAAGATGAATGCAGGCGGAATCTCGGAATGAAATTACGGGCCAAATCAAATGGCAATAGCAGATGCTGAGCGCATGTGTCTTTGAATTGTGGCCAAAACTAGGCCAGACTTGTAAAGCAGTAACTGCTAGTAGTGTGTCAGAGGGCACAGACCACCAGACAAGCTTGGTGAGCACGGTGTTCCTTGGGGCCAGAACTGAAAGTTGCATGGCAAGGACGTGATCAATGAATTAAGCGACAATGGCCCAATAGAGGAGGCTGTCTGTGTTTAAATAGCCAGGTAACCCATCCTACAACGGCAGTCTACCAGTCACCTTATATACCTACATTTATGACAGTACAAAATGATTAATTTTATACAGGCTAATTTCATTAGAATAAGGGCATCTTTACAACAAAATCACAGAAGATAAATGGGAGGTCTTTAAACAAATTCTACAAAAGTGCATTTCTCAATACATATGTAATTTGGAAAAAAATTAAAAAGTAAATTAAATCAATAAGGTTTCATACAAGGGTCAGACAAATAATAAAAGATAATAAAATTGCATGCAATAGATTTAAATCAGAGGTGACAATTGCATCCTATAACAAATATAAGCATGCCAATTGGGTTTGAAAAAGGTGATTATAGGGCTAAACTTGAAAATGAAAAGCTCATAACCAAAGAGAGCAAGACCAACTCCAAAATGTTTTTTTGAAGTACATTAGTTCTAAAAAGGTTAATACTGAAAAAGTTGGGCCATTGGAATCTGAGATGTGTGAGTTAATCAAGGGAAAAAAAAAATAAATATTTTTTTTCTTCCATATATAGGGAAATATAATCTATGGTTGTAGATTTGCAAATCTCTGTTACAAAAGCCTTAGAGCAAACAAGTAATTAGTTAATACAAGAGAAAGTGCTACATAAATAAACAAAGTTAATTTAAACAAAGTCCCAGATACAGATGGTATTCACCCACACATACTTCGAGAGCTTAGTATAGATATGTTTATACCATTGTTTTTAATCTTTCAGGAATCTTTTCTTTCATGAATTATACCAGAGGATTGAAGAAAACCAAATGTGGTGCCTATATTTAAAAAGGTTTCAAACATTCAACCCAGAAACTACAAACCTGTGAGTTAGGAAATTATTTTAAAAGCTTTTAAGGAATAACATGTAAGAGTTCACAAATCAGGAATAACAGGAATCAACATGGTTTTATGAAAGACAAGTCATGTCTAACTTAATTGCATTCTATGAAGAAATTTGTAGAAATATAGATCAGGGTGATCCAGTAGATATGATCTACTTGGATTTTGTCAAGGCATTTGATACAGTTCAATATAAAAGGTTACTATTAAAGTTGAAATCACTTGGTTGAGATTTTAAATTGTGTTTTTGGATAATACACAGGCTTAAAGATAAGTGCAGAGAGTAGTTGTAAATGAAAAAATATTAAATTGGGAAAAAGTGAAGTGCCTTGGGCTTCTGTCCTGGATCAATAGAAACATAGAATGTGATGGCAGATAAAAACAATTTGGCCCATCTAGTCTGCCCAATAATCTGATACACTTCTGTTTAAACTGTTTATACATGATTTAGCTTGAAGTGGGCATTGAAAGTCATGTCTTGATTTGTGTTTGCAGGTAAAACAAAACTAGGTACGAAAATACAATCTAAACAAGATATAACTTCTCTAAAGAGAAGCAGCAAGTGGCAGGTGAGATTCAATACAGATAAATGCAAAGCTATTTACATTTAATGTTTTATTTAATTTAATCCGATTTAATGTATAATTGTTGGTGGGTTACTTATTCCAAAAGGCTTGACTTTGTATTTATCTGTGTTATCTGAATCTCATCTGTCACTTGACTGCCCTGCCCCCAATTTATCCAAACCCCTTTGTGGAGAAGAATCACTTTTTCTTTAATTATTGTTGTATGTTTTGGGGCTGATGGGAGGGTGCTACGGTCAGTGCTGCCACCAAGGAGTAGTGGGAGCTTGAGCGCACTTAGTTTTGTAGGTTTGTACTAGACTACTATGCAACTATGGGTCATGTTTGCTTTTTGAGAATAATAGTGCAAAATGCTTGTCAATTTAACTTTGAGTTGTACAATACTGGAAAAATCAACAATGGGCTGAACTGATAGTATTTAAAACTTTTTATTTAGAAAATCATTTAAATAAATAACTCATGCAACGAGTAAGTCCATAGCCTCTCACATTTTGTCTCTAGATCAGGACGCGTACCTTGATACTCTATAATCCATTTATAGACATGCCGCTGTAGAAATCAGTCATACTAGGAACTCTTTTTGTAAAAATCCATGATATTTGCTGATATTAACTGCAATGTAATGTGTCTCCTAAATGTAAGTGAATATGTTTTCCTAATATAATTTCACAATCTAAGGAAAGAAAAAAAAAACTGCTGAGTTTTTTTAAAACACCAGCAAGCAATCACACACAACTACATTAACCCTTTAGGTATTATGCTGCTCTCCTGTGGTATTAAAAGGCACATTAAAACTAATACAGGAAAGTAATAAGAAAGACAAGGAGCAACCTGATCATCTCTTGCTTTTAATATAAATAAAATAAATGAAGATAAAAACATTGCATCCATGGAGACCACAATAATATCAGAAGAGGTCAAGGGAGCAGCCTCTCCTCTTTTTTTTGTAAGGTGGTATTAAATACTACATGCTTCCTATTCCTTTTCCTCATCCCATGGGCTGTAGTTTGGAGGGTTATAATACAAGGGTTATTCAAGGGAAAGTGCTGGCTTGTCCCTTGGCTCGCCAACAAGCCTTTAACAAACTGAATACTCAACCTGAAAGATGCTTGCCAGAAGGGAAAATATTATTTAATATCTAGCCAGATCAAGAAACTAGAAAGGTAATGAACATACCGAATAGGGAATTTCCAAAGTGCGATTTGAGATATGCAGATGATGAACAAAAGTAATTTTTCTATTTGCATTTTGTAAAATTATATTTTTGCATATTAAAAATTCAGACTTTACATACCATATAATTAGAGATGAGCATATGTTCGGGTCCAGCTGGTTCGGCCGAACTTTGAAAAAAAGTCCGGATTCGTGATCGAACTTGACCCCGAACTTGACCCTGAACACCATTGAAGTCAATGGGGACCCGACTTTTGGCCAAAAAAATGCCTCTAAAATAGTCCTGGAAAGGGCTAGAGGGCTGCAAAAGGAAGTAAAATGAGGGTAAGACTAGGATAAGTGCCCTGCAAACAAATGTGGATAGGTAAATCACTTAAAATAACATAAAAATTAAAAATACAGCTGAGCTATAAAATACCACTAGATGGAATCTTTGATTTTAGCTTTGGAAGAACATAAATCAAAATCTAAAGCATGGCTGTCAGGAGGATCAACAAAATTATCCATTTGAGAGAGGGTTGGAGTGCAAGGTATTCTCTTTCATTGTTCAAACTGAGCTCAACTCCTGATGCATGGAGAAAAGGCCTTCACAAGCCTCTGCTATTGTGTACATAGTTTATACTAAGTGACCCATAGGTTGAGGAGGCGGTGACCGTGGCGGTGTAGGTGGAAGCAGCAGTGGAGGGGGAGGAGGTAGCCAACACTGTTTATATATATATATTTTTTATTTTAATTGGGGTAGCCCCCAAAATATTGGGACATACAAAAAAAGAAACATTTGCGGCCTGTGGTGCATTTTTTGTAGTCCTGATGCATGGAGAAATGCTCAACTCCTGATGCATGGAGAAAAGGCCTTCACAAGCCTCTGCTATTGTGTACATAGTTTATACTAAGTGACCCAAAGGTTGAAGAGGCGGTGACCGTGGCTGTGTAGGAGGAAGAGGCGGTGGAGGAGGAGGAGGTATCCAACACTGTTTTTTATAAATATATATTTTTTATTTTAATTGGGGTAGCCCCCAAAATATTGGGATATATAAAAAAAGAAACATTTGCGGCCTGCGGTGCATTTCTTGCAGTCCTGAGGCATGGAGAAATGCTTAACTCCTGATGCATGGAGAAAAGGCCTTCACAAGCCTCTGCTATTGTGTACATAGTTTATACTAAGTGACCCATAGGTTGAGGAGGTGGTGACCATGCAAGTGTAGGTGGAAGCAGCGGTGGAGGTGGAGGAGCTAGCCAACACTGTTTATATATATCTATTTTTTATTTTAATTGGGGTAGCCCCAAAATATTGGGACATATAAAAAAATAAAGCAGGTCCGCAGAGTGACTGACCCGTGCATGCTTCATCTGAAACACCACTATCGCCTGCTGCTGCGCGCACAGTCTCATGAGGCGGTGAGCGGGAAGGCCGAAGTTACGCTGCAGCGCAGACAGACGAGCAGCAGCAGGGTGAGAACGCCAAAAGAGTGCACAGAGGGCCCGCACTTTCTGCAGCAGCTCTGATATATCTGGGTATACACCATGGCATCACAAGGGCCACCCAGAACTGGCTCAGCTCCCATCAAGCCAAGTTCCTGGAGGAGATCACCCAGCTCGTCATGCTAGAGCACGTTTTCAATGTGCTCCCCAACGAGAAGGCGACGACACATTCGTATGTCAATCCATATCAACTTTCGATGCCATTGACTGCGCCTACCATGGTGACCACGGGTAACGGGGAATTCCGTACAGGGACCCTGACAAATGGCTACCACATGCAAGGAAGGCAGCAGACGCGCAAATGACCAACTCCCGACGCGGGAAGGTAGTGACGACAAATAACAATACAGGACTCTTTAGACGACCTGTAATTGTAATGAGTCCACTTGAAATAATTTAACTCTGATCAATTGGAGGGAAGTCTGGTGCAGAGCCACTGACCCATGCGTTCTGCAGCTGAACCTCCACTATCGACTGCTGATGCTCAAACAGTCTCTCCAGCATGTGCAAGGTGGAGTTCCACCTTGTGGGCACGTCACATGTGAGGCAGTGAGTGGGAAGGCCAAAGTTACGCTGCAGGGCAGACAGGCGAGCAGCAGCAGGGTGAGAAAGCCGAAAGCGCGCACAGCCTCTACAGTGAATGTAACATCCTGTTCCAAGTTGCGGATCAGTCTGGTGATGGCTTCTGGTATCCAGTACTCTTTTTACTGAAGCTGCATCAGGGTCCTGGTATGTGGCCACACAGATGCTGGTGCTCATCACCAGGGAGCGTTCGGTTACCCTGCACCAGGCCCTGCTAATCCATTCCACACTGTGACTCCTAACTTCTACATCAGGCATACTGGGTCCCGGTCGTCCGACCGCCACCCAGACAGTTTCTGGGTCCCGGTCACCAGACTGCAAAACTGCGAATGGCTTATTAAATCTGTTATGGTTCTTTTTATCGCTTCAACTGTTACTTGGATAACTGTGGGAATTCTAAAGATAATACATGCTGACAAGCGCTAGGGGACGGCCGCTTTGCTTTTGTACCCTGCTCCCTCTTATGCTGTGCTGGTGCCTCTGTGCAACCAGCGCCTCTTCCTCCAAACTGCACATGCATGACCTTGATTCCATGTGGGGTCTAGGACCTCATCATCCTCCACATCATCTTCCACCCACTCCTCAACCCTGCCCTCCTTGCCAGTATGCACACTGCAGAAAGCCACAGCTGTTGGCACCTGTGTTTTTCCCAGCATGCAAAGTCTGCAAAGGACATATGGAAATTGTTTTAGAATTGTATCCAGGCAACAGTTTTCCCTATAAACTGACCTCTCAGTTTGACTTGTGAGGGTATTGCCCTAGAATTACAATATTGTTTAAGTACCTCTTAGCTATTGATAACTGGTTTAAATATATCAGCTTGTTATCTGGTAGTTTTTAAAATATCAATATGTTTTCTATCACTTAGATCTGTGTAACAAGTGTTGTAGGTGTGAAACAATATTACAAGTGACTGATGTAGTAAATTCGAATCAAAGTTCCATTTTCAAAAAAAATTCTCGCTCATCTTCTGTGGGTTATTGCATTTTTAAGATGTAGACTTATTGTATCACACTAGCCATGCACAGGTAGATTGTCTGGCGCGTTGTTTTCGTGTTTGGTTTTTAACTTTGTAGTTGTGTCTTTACACAATATAGAAATGTATATTAATGCTTCTGTATATGAAGCGATCACAATAACACTTATTTTTCACTTTTTTTTAAAAAGAAAATCAGGCTAACCAAAAATTGGTTATTAACAATATGACATCTGAAAAGCACATGAAAGGATGCTGTATGATTTAAAAAAACAAACAAAAAAAACATACTACATGAAGGTCCTGTTCACTAGAGTGTGTAGTCATGAATGTAACCAGTACACTTTGTTTTTACAGCCACTGGTTGGCCCATACATATTTTAAAACTTGTATAATTTTGTTATAGCATGACTTGTAGTCTTGTTTTTAACTTATCTATAATACATATTTTTGTATGACAGAGTGTTTTTTCATTGATTATTGAATGTTAATGGTCTAAGATAATTAACATGTCAACAGGCAAACGTAACCCGAATGATTTGTCTCGGTCTTGCCTTCTATACTACCTGCACCATAGGCAACATTTATTTGTCTTTAGACTTTCTTGAGAAGCGGTAACTAGCCAGTGTTGCACACATACACCAGATATGAAGTGCCCACCCCAAATGTACTATTTAGCACCCAGAAAATCAGAATGTTTACAACTGCGCTGTAAGCGCACTATTAGACACTTTAATTTGACTCTCAAAATGTACTATTTAACAGATTAGCAGCAAAACAATTAGAATGTTTACAACTGCACTGTAAGCGCACTATTTATGCTTCGATTTGACTCTCAGATATGAAGAGCAGGCACCAAAATGTACTATTTAGCAGATTAGCAGCAAAACAATTAAAATGTTTACAACTGCGCTGTAAGCGCACTATTTGACACTTCGATTTGACTCTCAGATATGAAGTGCACGCCCCAAAATGTACTATTTAGCAGATTAGCACCCAGAAAATTTGAATGTTTACAAGTGCCCTGTAAGCGCACTATTAGATGCTTCGAATTGACTCTCAGATATGAAGAGCACTCCCCAAAATGTACTTTTTAGCAGCTTAGCACCAAAACAATTAGAATGTTTACAACTGTGCTGTAAGCACACTATTTGACGCTTCTATTTGACTCTCAGATATGAAGTGCATGCTCCAAAATGTACTGCAGAATTCTTTCCTAAGCTGTCTCTCACAGCGGCAGCATCCTCTCCCTACACTAATAAGACCTCATGTGACATGCGGCGCTACGCAACTCCAGCTTATATATAGAGGCTGGGTCACATGCTGCACTGGCCAATCACAGCCATGCCATTGGTAGGCATGGCTGTGATGGCTTCTAAGGGCACACGAGTCAAACGCTTGTTGATTGGCTGCCCTGCAGCCTTTCAAAACGCGCCATTAAATTGCCAAACACCGAACTCCAACCCGAACATACAGTGGTGTGTCTGTGTTCGGGTCTGGGGTCCAAAAAATGCAATGTTCGGTACGAACCCGATCTTTACAGTCTGGGTTCGCTCAACTCTACATATAATCTCTCTAAAAAAAAGTGTAATTTTTCTTACTGGAAATTCCTTTTTCCTTACTATGGTAGCAGTACACTGGGGATTTGCTCTTCCCTGGGACATGCATCTAAAAGAAATTAACCATAAAAAGATCCTCCCCCATTAGGTATAAAGTACTAACCGTCCAAGATCCCACAGTTTGTAACAATAAAACACTAGAGACCTCATACTGCAAAAATTTATTTATTATCAAAAAAGGGGGAGAAACTTGTACTGCCACCATATTAAGGTAAAAGGAATGTACGGTAAGTAAAATAAAAAATAAAAAAGGGATATATCGAGATCCCAGAAAACACTTTGGGCAGGAATTAGGCAACCACTGATGTACCACCTTATGCCTAAAAGCCGCTTCAGAGGCAGAGAAAATGTCTAGCCTGTAATGCTTCACAAAGGTGTTGAATGAAGACCATGTAACTGCTCTGAATATATCCTCTGAGGATACAGGGCTTGAGCCCTTTCTGCCCAAGAGGTAGCCAAAGCTCTAGTTAAATGCACTTTTAAAGATGTAGGCAAAGGCAATTTAGAGTAAGTGTAAGCCAATTTATTTGTATCCACGAGGCATCTAGCCAAACTAGCCTTAGAAGCTATGAGACCTTCACATTTTCCAAAAACTTAACAAAAAGATGGTCTTATCTTCTGAAGTCACATGAACGATCGATATAAACCCTAAGGGGTCTTCTAACATTTATTATGTGCCAATTTGTCTCCTGTTCAGAGGTTGACAGGTTACCAAAAAAAGGAAATATAATTGGATAATTGATACCCTTGACGTGATGACTTTTGAAAGGAAAGATGGTTTTGGATGAAAAACGACTTTGTGTGAAAATATATAGGGAATTCTTGAGATGAAAGAGCCTGAATTTCACCGACTCTTTTAGCAGGTGTTATTGCTACTAAAAAGGCTGTATTAAGAGACAACAGCTTCAGAGAAATTTCTTTCAAAGGCTCAAATGGTGCTTCACAAAGGGTTTTAAGAACAACTGACAAGTCCCATGATTGAATGAAATTCCTCTTTGGAGGTCTGATGAAGAATCTCGGACTCAGAATGTTGGAAGCCAAATTGGCTAAGAGCGAAAAGGTGAACCTTGAGAGTAGATAGTCCCACATTGAGACTATCCTATAGAAAATTCAAAATGGTATTTGTAGAAGGTGAACTACCTAGGCAATGATCCTTGCACCAGTGAAGAAATTTAGTCCAGGTTCTTAAATAAATACCAGAGGTAGATTTTCTGGTAGAATTAAACAAAAACTGGCATCTTTCATTCTTAATGCCCTTGTGATGAAAAATCAGCCTTGCAGCAACCAGACTGTCAATCTAAACATCTTCAGGATTTATAGGGGAATCACTGTGTTCTCCAGGAGACTTGTTGATAGTGGAAGTTCCCATGACCTTAAAGCCATTGTCCTCAAGGCTGAGAACCAACTTTGGTTTGGCCAGTATGGAACTAATGCCAGAACCAATGCCTTGTCTGTTCTTATTTTTTGTAGAATCCTCGGAATGAGGTTTAACGAAGGAAAGACATAAGCAAGGCTGAAGTCCCAATTGATTGATAGACCATCCAGGACCAGTGGAAAGTTTGCACTGAAAACAGAGGCAATTTTTTTCACCTTTGCATTCTTCCTTCTTCCCATAAGGTCTATGACCAGCATCTCGAATTTCTTTACAATCTGAGAACATAAAACAGGATTCAGGGACCATTCGTTCTGAGACCATCTTGATCTGCTGAGGTCGTCTGCTATGATGTTGTTTATACCCCTTATATGAACAGCTGACAGATCCTCCAGATGATGTTGAGCACAAGTCTTTATTCTTGTGCAGAGAATCTGTAGTTTTCTCACCCTTTTACCTCCTTGTTTGCTGATATGTGCAACAATACTTTGTTTGTCAGATTGTATTCTTGCTGCCTTTACCTGAATGAGGGATTTTGAACTGAAGAAGGGCATAAGAAACGTCATTAATTCTTTGAAATTGGATGACTCTTCTCTTTCTTCTACTGACCATATGCCTTGTCTGATATGATACTCAAGATGAGCTCCCCATCCTAGATGCGATGCATCGGTGGTGATAATGATCCAATCCTTTATTTGAAATGACAGGCCTGTAGAAAGGAATTGGGTTTCTGTCCACCAGTATAGTTGATCTTTTACTGGTTCTGAAATCTCCATTATGGAATC